GAAGTGATATATCCGAAATGAAAGAAATGATGCTGAAAATGATGAATCAAAAGTGACCGCCAACTCGAGGCAATGCTGGCAGGAGAAAAGATATAAATTGATATTTTACCAACTTGGCCAATGTCGATCCAGCAATCCGTTCGCTTGCAATTTCTTTTGTCGTGATTTTTGTTTTGCGAAACGGTTTTCCGAGTCGGCGGGCTGGGCCCGTGGAAGTTATCTATCTCAGTGTTATCTATGATAGTTCAGAATGTTAGCTGAGAATCAATGCAATCGCTGAAGTGAATTGACTCCATAAGAGTTTATAGTTAGCTGAATGAGTTGAACGCATGTGGGGTAAAATTCAGGACTTCCATATTCTCTGTAGAACTAATTACATGCAGTGTGTCTATCGTCACTACGTATCTATATACATGTCCATAATCTACAAAGCATCCTCTCTGTAGTAATTGAATCATTCAATATCAATTTTTACTAACCTAATAACCGCTACTACCAAAAGATCTTGCCCAGTTAACCGCTAGGAATCCTGTCATCGACTAATTCCCCTCCCCGCACACACTGCGGTGACTACTTAGCTCCGAACATCATGTAGGGTTGTGTGTGTGCCACCCTCCTACCTACAGTAACCATCCGTCAGCCTCTCACTGCATGCTGCATGCACCCTCTGACGTGTCCGATAATAATCCATGACAGCCAATAATAACGACACCCCTCCTCCCAAACAAGACTGAGTAAAAATGTTGGATCCAGGCCACCACAAATCAAGTCAATAGCTGTTCTGCAAAGTAGGTGGGCTACCGGCATAAGATTCTGAAATGGTTGCCGGTGCTTTTTGCAGATCTTCCTGCGGCGGATGTATGTCGGTAGATATGTATGTACTGTACATACATTACTTCGTAAAGCAGGTACATCCTACAGGGCTGTCCGTACTCTGTGCAACATAATAATGATCGCCATTAAGGTCCTGTGATGGGGAGGGATAGACAGACAGACAGACAGATTCTTTTTCTCGTTCCCCTCCTCCTTCATACTATCGATAAACAGTTTCCAGCTTTTCAGCTTCCTTGCAAGGGTCGTCCATCTTTTATTATAATATTACAGTACATCCATGTTGGACCCTTGCGATCGATCGATCGCACATCGATGATCGATCCTGCAAGCTTCTGCAAAGATCGACTAGCTATTACTGATATTGAATCGGTTTATTCAATTTCTTGTAACCTATCGTGCCCACCCTTGTCTGCACATCTGAACGCACACAGTCGTTGCGATCAACTTCATCCAGTCTCGACCAGTTGCCCGCAATAATGTCGTCAATGGACGCTCCACCCGACGGAGACGTCAACCGCGCCCCAGCGCTGCTCGTCGCGCTGTGGCTAACCACCTCCATCGCCCTGATCGTCTTCGCCGCTCGTCTGTACGTGCGGATTCGCATCATCAAGTACCACGGTCTGGACGACTACTGGATTGTCGCGTCGATGGTCCGTACACCCAGGCAAACATTCTCCTCCCAAACATTCTCCTCAGTCGACTAATTAATTCTTTGTAGGTCCTCGCAACAACAGGCATCGCCCTCGAAACCGTCGCCGTGCAATACGGCTTCGGCCGTCACGAACACTACCTCTCCGCCGACCAGATCGTCTCCGCGACAAAATTCAACATGGTCGCCATCCCGCCGAACTTACTCAGCAGCGCCACGGCCAAGATGTCCGTGTGTTTCTTCCTGCTGCACGTCAACCGGGACCGGCGCACGGGGTTGTTTCTCTACGGGATGGCGGTTGTCCTCTTCGTCTTTGCCGTCGCTAGCTCGATCACGCTTCTCGCGCAGTGTCGGCCTGTGGCGGCGCTGTGGGATCCTGCGGTGCGGGCGGCGAGGGGGCGGTGTTTGGAGCCGAGTATTAATGGCGATGTTGCGCTAGCCCAGGCTGGTCTGTCCCTTCGTTTTTCTTCCTCGCCAATGTAGTGGCTGTATTGCTAATCGAACCTGCTAGCATTCTTCTGCTTTGCCGACGTCGTATTTGCGGTCTTTCCGTTGACCTTCCTCTGGGGTCTGAAAATAAATCGCCGGACGAAATGTGCCTTGGGCTTTGTCCTCAGCCTAGGTCTGATGTACGTCTGACAGACATTCCATCCTCATCGATCGTCATAACTGATTTTGTTGAATGTCTACTAGAGCCGCCGCATTCGGCATCGTCCGGTGCGTCGTCCTACAAGAACTCACGACCCGAAAAGACATCCTCTTCTCAACCGTCGATCTGGCGATGTGGTCCTTCCTCGAGCAAAATGTTACGATTATTGCGGCGTGTATTCCGGTTCTGTACACCGTCTTCCGCGCGGTGCTCGGCGTGGGAAGTAGTCGCAGCAACAACAAAGCGTCCACGGGGCGCGGCGGCAACTCGTACGCGATCCACGGACAGAGACACAAGTATGCGGAGGCCTACGGACCCAGCTCGCCCAGGCGCAGCCGCTACCTGGATATTGATTATAAGATGCAGTGGACGACTACCGTGACCGGCGGCGTGTGGGCCGTCGATACCAGCAAGACGGGGTCCGATGACGGTGAGGGAGGCGATCGAGGGACCTCCAGCGAGGATGGAATCCTCGGGCTGGAAACGACTCATCGGGGCATTATTCGGACGACGGAGGTGGTGGTGTCGGAACAGACGAGTCCAGTATAGTTGGACTGGTGGTACATTCGTGGGTATATATGTATGTACATTTCAACTGGTTCAGTGCATTTTGTTACGATGATGGATTTATGTCGTATGTTTGTATGTATATATAGCATGTACAGTATAGCGGAGTATTTCTCATGTTTCTCCCTTCGTACCATTAGCCACCTGAAAAAAGGAACAACGCGTTTTTAACAACCTTCTTCTCAGTCTAGGAATTATATAGGCATTCCCCTTCTATTAACGTACTGTACAGTCCTTCGTATTGGCATCTCAAGACAAAGGATTGAACCTGCTCCCCCTCACCGGCTCGATCAGCCTCGCCGTCAACTCGTTCTCCAACGTCGGCGACCACGACAACCACAACCCTCTTTGACTCAGATGCCGATGGACTTTGCGAGGCAACGGATCCGCTCGCTGGCCTTGAGGGGTCACGGGCGTGAAGGAGAACGTCGTCAACGCCGGGAACCGCCAATCCAGGAGGGCGATGATGCGCTCATGGACGCGTTCGACCTCTTCGGGCGATTCCAATCGACGCACGCCGGGGGCGATGGGTCCCAGGCAGAGGGTCTCCAGCGACGGGAAGCGCACCGAGTCCGGCTCGTCGTCCAGCTCGAGGATCTCCAGCTCGGGCGGCATCTCGACCTGCCGGAGACGGGGACAGTGGCGGGCGAGCGAGGCCAGCGATCGGGCACTGATCGCACCGCGGATCACTCGAAAGGACAGAACCTCGAGGTGCACGAGTTTCGACGCAATCGCCTCGAACCATTCGTCGGAGAGATCGACGGTGGCATCGGCTTCGGGCTCCAACTCCACGCGGCGGAGCATCGGACAGTGAGACGCAAGGTGCTCCAGCGATGCTCCGGTCACGGGTTCCCCATCCGCCCACGACAAGGTGATTCCCTCGAGTCGCGTGCACGACGCGATGCACCGTACAGTCTCCGTTGGAGATTCGCAGTCCAGAATCGAGAGGGTTAAAATCTGCAGATTCTTCAGCAAGGGCATGATTCGCCGCACCGCGCGATCTTCGGCGGTAATTTCCAGAGAGCGCAGATGGGGGAAAATGGCCTCGTCGGGGATGTTGGTCTGGTCGAATGATTTGTGCACGACGCTGCCAGTCAAGACAGTTTCAGCTCCGATGGCCAGTTTCTCCAGTCCGGGGCGCAACAGGAGATAGACCATCACGTCTTCGGTCAAACAGGGCTCGAACCCCATGACCAACTCCAGATGCTTGAGGGACGGCATCGCCTGGAGGAAGTTGAGGAAATCCTCTTTGGTCACATGGGGGGTATCTGGGTCTTCCAGGGCCAGGAGATTGTCGAGCAGGCACGCGCGCAACGAAGGCGCATGTTTCTGTAATTCCCGTTCAGTATCATCACCCTACAGGTAATCCTCCCACTCACCTGAATTTGTTCCAGAAACCATCGAGTATAAGATCCGGCAAACAGCTCCAGACAAAGCAGATTCAGCTGCAAGAACCGCGCCATATCCTCCTCGGTCATATTTTCATTGCCGATGTCGACGACCACGGACACCAGGTTGGGAAAGTGAAACCCCTTTTCCTTCAGCAGTCGCTGGATGGGAAAATCGTCACCATCGTCACCATCATCATCATCATCATCACACGTCCTCAGTTTCAAATGCCGGATCTTTCTCGTATACCTTGAAGCGCCAGTCAGCTTGCAAAAAAGAAAGAAAGAAAGAAATAAAAAGTCAGCCTGCCATTACCAATCTCGTCGCTCCTTCGGAGAGTTGGCTATTCTTCGCAGCGGCAATGAATGAGAATACAGGGAATCGCGGTACGAGCCTCGCCAGATCCACTATCACGCGATTCAGCGAGGTTAGATATAATTATTATAACAGAGTTTAAACGACGACGTACATTTGTAGCCTCCTCGGCCCAGAGGCTGTTGACTTGCGTGGCGGCAACCAAGCTCTTATTGTCGAGATGTTGCAGCACACGCGCAACGATCTCGGGCAGTTCGAGGGGTGATCGAGGAGGCATAATGAACCAGAACATTCAAACGAGAATCACTCGCAGGGGAACCGGCCCCGAGCAAGGAAGCTGGTGGCTGTTATATAGAGGTACCCTCAGCCCAGCGACAATTAATTGCAATAGCAAAAGCAGGACGATGTCACACACGCTGTGGCTAAGCACTCCGCCTACGCATCGTTAGAAGCATGCAGATCATCCGTCGTCTGAAGACAAATAAATTTTTCCAGATATAACAAACAAGGGAAAAGGAGCTGAAAGCTGAAAGTCTCAATGATAAGACGAATTGGGTGCCCGGGTTTCTATTTTTGCCTTTCATTTCATCAACTTCATTAACTCTGCAAGATAGATGTTGGACGCTGTCCTGTGACCAATCAGATAAATTGTAGCCTGGCCCAAGGCGCCCACCCACTGGACCTGGCCAATCACACTGCATTTGAAGAACCATTTGGTATATTATGAATACGAGGTATCGGCCAAATTTTTTGTGGTAGAAGATTAAAATTGAAAATATTCTCGTATATTATATAATTCTAGGTTCTTGTATATGAATTCAATTAGATAGAAGAATATTTTATTGTATTCTTTTTTTTAAAAAGAATACAATAAGACTACCTAGGTAACAACTCAGCCAATTCATGGATCGTGGAAATTTTTAATTTTAGTTATTTTGATCCATCTACCCATCGAGATCTCTATATGCTCTTTAGTAAAGAAAAAAAAAGTATAGTAGGAGAATATAAACGATAAAAAGCTCAACTTTTGCGGGAAAATGATGCGGGGTAATATCTGATTTTTTGCGGAGTGACTTAAGCTTCCCACCACCTACTACTACTAAACCTGGAAGGTGCATTCAATTGGAAAGAATAATACCTATCAATATCAATATGAACAACTATGCAAATAATGGCATTTCGGCCTCAGATTGCCACAGCAAATTCGACACCAGAGGTTTGGTCTGTGGACTCATCATGTAGAAAAGCCCTTGACAACCCTAACCATGTACTCCGGACCTAGGAACCTAACTCCATGAACTGAACGATTGCCATGGCGCCCATCACCTGCAATTTCGCCTCCGCCCTCTACGACCGCATGGTGCCCCTCGCCGTGGGCGAGGTCCAGCCCTCCGGACTCAATGTCAACTTCATCGACGTCCAGCATCTTCGACCGCATGATCGCCAACCGCGAGTTTGATGCCTGCGAGCTGTCAGCCTCGGAATATATCACCCGCCACGTCGCGGGTGATCGGTCCTTTGTCGCCATCCCCGTCTTTGCGTCGCGCGCGTTCCGACACAGCTTTATCTGCGCCAACAGCAACAAGATCAAGGAACCGAAAGACCTCAATGGCAAGCGCATCGGCGTGCAGCTGTACACCCATGACGGCGGCCGTCTGGATCCGCGGCGTGCTGCAGCACGAGTACGGCGTCGATCTGTCGACGATCGAATGGGTGGAGGGCAAGATGGAGGGACCGGGATCGCACGGCAAGCCGTCGGCGCTGCCTCTTTTCTTTTCTCTGTCTTTCTCTTTTCTCCTTCCATCTTAGGGAGTTTCAAGTATCAAGCCAGGAACCTTCTTCCGGTATGTGCGAGTTATAGGTCTGACCATAGATGGCAAATGAGAGACAAAATTAAATATAATTAAAAAATATTACATAGCCAAGTCCTGCTTTCGGCGCAATTAGCGCCGGAGGAGAATAAGCAAATGCGGAGTAACCCCGGACTGACCTCAGCCTCGTCGTCGGCATGGATACAACCATTGTCCAAGATGACATGGACACTGACATTGACATTGATCAGATCCATCTGAGGCTGTCCTTTCCAGACTAACAGCACAATGTCTCCCAAACGTGCCTGCGACTGCTGCAACATCCGCAAAGTCCGCTGCAATGGCGTGCAGGTGCCACCGCTGCATCGCCAACGGCCTCGGACACCTATCTGCGCCAGCGCCGCAAGAGCGGGCCTCGCAGTCTGCGCCAGTCCTCCATGCAGAAGATCTGGAAGGAGCAGATGTCTGCCGTCGAACAGCTTCAGCAGCCCAACGACCTGGCCAGAAGAAGCCCCGCTGGCCTCGCCGCCCGCACCCCCGTCCACCCGACGCATCTCTCTCACCGTCCTGCGCATCGTCCTCGCCCTCTACAAGGAAAAACTGTACGGGATCTGGCCGATAGGAGCTGCTCCAGCAGCTGCAGAACGATCCCCGCGATGTCGAGACGTACGCGCTAACCACCGGCCCTGTGCGGCGCGACGCTCTCCCATCTCAACCAGACCGTCACGCACGACTCGCTGCCCGAGCCCATGACCGCGCACTCGTTCGCCCAGGAGGCGCGACGCGTGCGGACGACATTCGATTACATGGAGCCCGTCTCCCTTAACACGGTCTTGACGTCGTACTTCCTGCACTTCTACTACGCCAAGCAGCCCTCGCGCGCGCAGACGGCCGCCTTCTACATCCGCGAGGCCATCTCCTTTGCGCAGCTGCTGGGCATGCACACGGAGGAGGCATACTTCCAGCATTCGGTAAGGGATCAGAAGATCATGCGCAAGCTGTATTTCCTGCTGTTCATGACGGAGCGCTACCTGTACATCCAGTACGGGCTGCCCACGGTGCTTGAACCTATTACCCTGCCGACGATGGACCACGAAGACCTGCCCGACGTGGTGTCAGGGTTTTTCCGATCACCATTGATAATCCAAACGGCCCTATCAGAGATCCTGTCTCACCCAGGCTGGGCCCTCCATCATACCAGCCCCACCTGCCAGTAATCCAGAAAGGAAATTCGCCCGTGCTAGTTATCGCTTCAATGCGTTGGCAATGATATTAACGGCTGGTTAATGGCATGACCTGGAAACTGCATTCTCATCGCACGGACTCATACTTGTAAACTAGCCACACCGGAGTAAGTTTGGAGGTGGTCGAAAATTGAAGGGTTAAATATGTGTTATCTCCCAACTGGAATTTGTTCCCTGCATCATTAATACTCATCTCTAAGCAGTTCATCTTATACTGTCAGCCCTATCTTGCAACATACTCATTCTCCTTGATTTGGAACATGGCAGAGACTTCATGGTCGCCAAACGCCCCGCAGCCTTCTGAGGAGGTGTTTGTCAACGCCGCTGCAGGGATTCCCGCTGATGTA